GTGTTAAAGAGTTGCTGTCAGATTCTAAGCTTAGGATTGTGCTGCACTGGAATCCAGCTAAGACTGCTGTACAGTTGTGCAGCATCCAATTCATTGCCACCTTCTTAATAGCTGCTTAAAATAGTTCTAGGAATAAGCTTATGCAAAACTCTGGAATAAACAAAGACATTTTGACTGAAGAAGTCCTGGAAGTTTGTGTTGATGTGCTTATTGCTAATTTAGGTATGGGCAAAGGTTGTCTGTGCCTGAAAACTAAAAATTTCAAGGTGAGAGAACAGGACTTCTGGAGACAACCAAATGTTGACTGCAATTCTGTAGCATTCTGTTTCTGGATCACATACTTCTTTGAGTATCTGAAAGAAAATGGAAACAATGAATCCCCTCTCCCATTTTGCTTTTCCCATTTGCTCTCCTGGAAAACAGGAAAATCCTTAATGAAGAAACAGAGGCAATTTTTAATGACGGCACATTGAATTTATTATGAGATTTTTAGTTTCCTTTAATTTTCTAGATTGGGAGTTGCTATTTTTGAAAGATGTGTTCATATGTTTGGTATCGGGGACTAGGATGTGGTTGTTTCCTACTCACAGAGCTTTATGCAATGCATGACCTACTGAAGGCTTTGTGCATGTCTCTGTGTGTGGGCTGGTAGGTGAGGACGAGAACAGTGAATGGAGGTGCAGGACAAATGAACTTAGAAATATGCAGTAGGTGGTTAATCTGTAAGCACAGAGCCCAACAGTGCCAACAGGAAAGTGTCTGCAGGTTTTTAAATGCAGTGAGAGACATGGTATGCTTGCAAAGCATGTTCCTCGTGTAAAACCATGCCCCAGTAACCTCAGTAGATCAGCCTGCTTGTTGTTCTTGCAAATACATATTTATATTTGGTTTAAGGATAATTTGGGGCATTACTCTCAAGGTTTAACAACTTCTGTTGTGTGGAAGCCTCACCACAGTTGCCTCATTCCTAAATGTCCTGCAGGGCAGCAATAACATGCTTTTTCTTACTCCCAGGAGATTTTCTTGGGACTCTGCTGGTTCCCAAGATTAACTCAGGCACCTTGCTAGATGCCCTGCAGGGTGTCTGATTGATAAGGAACCTGCTTCTTTCCTATCATGAATTTCTAACTAAACAACCTTCAATACAAAATTTTGCTACATGGATAACAGGAATGTTACCAGCTCTAGCACTGGAGGATGATATTGTATTATTTAATGATGGAGATATTATAGGCACTCTCAATGCAAAGGATAATTCACACTAACACAGCTGAAGAACCAAGTGGAGCAGGTTATTACTTTCTGAGAGCCAACATCTTGGCTCTGAGGCAAGAAGCACAAAGAAGCGACTGTAGCCTGCAGAGATGACAGGTCACAACACGCAGAACTCTCTCAATCAAAATGGAGCATTGTGGTTTGTGATTTGTTTTCTCTGAGCCTTTATTAAAAATAGAGGCAGTGCTGAGATTATTTGAGAGTTCTGCTACAGTAGTTTGGTGGGTAGATATTCTATTTTCTGCATTCGTGTTCCAGGAGAATAAAACAACAGCAACAAAATCTCTGGAGAACGACATATTTTCACCTGTGATTCATTTTAGTAATTGTGGAGCTCATTTTCACCCCATTCAGTGCAGAGGGTTTCAGATAGCTCATGTTGCGATATAAACACCTTTATGCATATTCCAGCTAATACTGTCACTATCTATGGGAAAAGAGAGGGAAAATGAAGCTCAGAAAACTTTTTCAAGAGAAGTAATTGCCAGACTAGATGCATTTATACATCTATAAGTATGTATATATATGGTAAAACCAAAATTGACAACATGTATCTGAAGTAGCTTCTGTACCTTATACTTGTTCCTTATGGTACGAAAAATGCAAATACGTGTCTCCTTTCCATTGAAAAATGCTTTTAATTTCTGTTTTCTATACAGAGTTGACATTCCAGGGAGGCGAGTCCACACGGTGGGGACTGACTGCTGAAGAACAAGTAAGGAACCAAGAACAGAATACTTGTAAGCCACACTAATACAAAGGCAGCGTGGAGGTAAAAAATTAAGATGACATGCCTGAGAAACTCCAACTAAAAGCCTAAAAGCCTAAATAATTTTCCTTCTTAGGGATCAGAATAACATAGTACAGTCCTGGCTTAAATGTAGGTCGGCTGAGTTTGTGTTCAGGTATTTATGGGTATACAAGATAAATTAATAATATGGCTGTTTGCTTATCAAGTTGTTTGCCTCAGGATGTAAAACAGAACATCTCTCTATGTGCTGCCAAAAACATATTTTGGGGAAGAAAAGCTCTCCTAATAACCATCCTATGTAATGGATTACATAGTTGCGTGGGAAAAAGATTGTTTTGTAGTAATGTTTTCTTAACAGTGTGATCCTGCCAGAAACTGAATGCCCTATTTGATATAGCAAGCAGATTAAAGCCACCTAAAGTAATATAGGGCATTTCTTGTATTACATGGCAGCTTTTTCTTTTTTAAAGCATTCAAGCTCTATTGCTACTTAAGAGACCATCACCCCAGCACTGCACTGATGGCACACCCACACTGAAGCTCCCTGGCATCTATCAGTAGCCCAGTGCCTTACCTGTGTTGGCATTTTACCTGCTGCAAGTCTCCTCACCAGGCTAGCAGTCATGCACAGTATCTACCCTGAACTTATGTAAAAGATTCACAGAAGAAAAGCAGTAACAAAGCTCAACCAACAATGCCAAACAGGCTGCTGTACATCCAGTCCATCCATTGTCACGCATACTTTATTCTGCTAGTACCTAAACATTGAACATGTAATTACTGGAGTAAAACTTGGAAGTTGTTTACAGCTTTCTTAGGTTTCAAATTTTCTTGTTGTTCTTTTTTCTAGATTGTCATATTAGTTTTTTTCCTGTATAGGAGTGTTAGAATTCCAGAGGAAACCACCACATCTTGCAGAGGTATCATCATTCCTGTCTGTATACAAAGAGCACTGTGTCTGCAACTGCAGAACAGAAGAGTCGTTCAGGTGTAGCAACCAGTGTACCAAGGGGTTGCTCTCATGGAGCACAAGGTCTCATAGATTGTCGAGCTGTGTCCTCTTCCGTAGACAGTGTAGGTGAATCAGTCAGAAAAGCTTGGCATTATTGTCTGTGAAGCATCAGGAAACACTCCTGACTTACTCTGTGGTGCTCTCTTCCTCTAGCAGAGTGGCTACAGCAATCCCAAGGGCTGGTAACATCCCACACTATGCTGCACAGGAACTGTAGTGTCAGCAGTGAATCTCAGGCGAAAGGCAGTGCCAAAACCAATTCTGTAATGATCTAAGTGGCAGTTTGCTGCCCTTTGAGCTTTTGCAAATAATTTTTGTGATCTTTAAAACATTTTCTACAAAAACATCTTAATTACAGTTAAAACACAGAACTTGAATGGATGGTTAGAAAATGTGATGTATCTATACAGGTTTCTATTCAGCTTGATACTATGGTAAAAAATGAGTCTACACACCTCATAGGATTTACTGTGATGTTACTGCAAAAGTAGCAAAGCTACCTCGTGTGTTGGATCTAAAAAAATGAAAATATGTGTTTTGTATCTGTTGCCAAGTTCACAATTTACTTACTAGACTGTAACACAGTTGCAAGTTATTAAGGATTGAATCTCTGCATTAATTTGGTACAAGACCATTCCAGCTCGTGTTAGAGCAAAAAAGGATAATTGGTATGTGGATACAAATTAGAGTTTAATATCCCATGCAGCTGTTTACATCTGCTTAATTAAGCAGCAGTGACTTCACATTAGCATTGCTATGAAACCATAAATACACACTAGAGATAAAGGTACAATCACATCAGCCACCCTCCTCATGTCAAATCAATGCAAGTTTGGGACTTTCTGTTTCAGTGTTGCATTTTAATGGTAAAGAAGAAAGTCTTCACTTTTAAAGAGGATCTTCAGGTTCGATACACTGAGTTTGGTGCAAGTGCCAGGATTTTATAAAAAGACTATGCTCCTGTAGGCAGTTTAAGCAGTAAATGAAGAACTTTAATGGAAATGCCTAACTTCAAGATAGTTGGAAGTCAGTGAGTAATTTTGCTTTTGGAGTCTTTACAGGCTCCTAACTTCAATATAGTTGGAAGTCAGTGGGTAATTTTGCTTTTGGAGTCTTTACAGGAGTATCACAGTCATTTTGTACAGTAATAGATGGTAAGTAAATACCCATCTAGAAAAAAGCAGTGCTGTTTTAACACTGATGAAGTTCTAACACTTTGATTCTTTGTTTCATGTATTTACCAGCAGTTCTGGCACAGAGCTGCCTGTTTTGCTTTTTGATTCAGGATGCCCTGAAGCTGGTATTTTGGGAGGTATGTACAATCAGGACAGGCCTTGGATTAACACAACACATCAAGAGAACACAAAAATTCTACTTTGGCCAGGACTATCAGAACTGTTAACCATCAGCATAAGAACACAACCTCAGTTGGTGCCATTTTTAATGATTAGAAATAATACATTGTAAAACAAAAAGTGAAAAAATTCCAGCGTGATACTTATAAACAAAGAACAAACAGAAAACAAAAAAACCTTCGGTTTTGCCTGACTTATAATATTTATCATACAACAGATCATTAGTCTGAGGTAATACCAGTAATAACTTTTTAGTCCTTCAAGGACTGCTCAGAAACTAAGAACAGTGATAGTAATGCATGCTATGTTAAAAGTGAGACTTGACTATTAAATCAAGCAAATCCTTCAACCTTTTTGGTTAGGGATCTGTGGCTGCAAGTATAAAACTGGAATTAAGTCTATACAGTAGGAACTACAGAACATCAGAGTCCTGCATGGCTTGGCATGAGTCCCTGTCAGTACTTAAGAGTACAGTTGATTACGTAAAAATCAGACATGTCAATACAGTAAAGACTTTGTTCCAGAGTAGCCCTTAAGAAATTTAGAATACTGTTAGTTTGCATAAAATAGCCAAAATAAAAGATGAATTCAGAAGTCCAAATTTTGGCATGAGGTAAAACCATGTGCATTTATTTCATCTGCATTTTAGGATTAGTAAGCATAAAATTAAGTAGGTTGACTGTAATGAATTCAGTCATACAAGTGCAAGTCTTCAGCTAGAATGTATTTTATGGCAGTTTATTTAAAAAATGTACCAGTAAATCATAAAAGAGGGATCATGTCCATTTAACGTTTATTGAAGTATACAGGAGGTTTTCTTTAGAATCAAATATGAGCATGGATATATGGCCAAACGCAAAATCTATCAAATTCAGTGAAAATTTTCTGACTTTAAATAGTAGCTGTAAGAATGACCAATATATATTCTTTGTTACAACCGCCCTCACTCTACAAGTAAAAAAAAAAATAAACATTCAGTAAACATTCTTTCCTAAGGTAGTTTCCCTTATATATCAGTGATTTATCCATTTCTTGTATACATAACTTTTTAAACATACCAATCAGTGGTTCTCACAACTGAAAAATAAAAGCACAAAAAAAGTTTACACTCTTGTACAGGTAAATAAAAGATCATTTTTAATTAAACTGTATATCCTTAAGGGCATAGTATAGTTTCAATTTCATTACCTATTACATAATTAACTTCTTACATACAAATATTGACATATTTGGCTTGTGCTTCAAAGCCGTTGTGTCTAGAAAGTCCATGTCAATGCAACTCATAACTTGAAATCAGTGGGGACATCTTTACTGCTGCTGGGTTTAACCTGTTCGTGCAACATGGTCTCCTCTGAACTTGTTGTGGCACTGCACTTTTCTGTGGAGTCATCAGTGTCTGGATCCAACCCTTCAGGACAGGGAAGTTTCAGAAGTTCTTCTCGCAACTGAGCTGTGTGACGCTGAGCATACAAAGACAAGTTAGCGTGGAAGCTCACAGTTAAAACAATACTTTTCCACAATGTTAGACAACATAAGGCAAAAAGAAAGGAGTAGAAGAGGTTTCGATGTACTGTTTCAATGACCAGGTCAACTTCTCCCCTGTACTTAAGAACTGGTACTTTCTTTTAGTGATGGAGTAATTAGCAAGTGCTACTAGGGACAAATTAAAGGTGGTCAACAGAACTGGAGCCAACAAGTGCATCAATATAAATGCTGCATTGCTTGTCTTACAGTGGAGTCCTATCTGGTTTGAGTGATTACAGCAG